GGAAAGAAAATCATTCAACTTCTTTGATAATTCTCTTCTTGCGAAATGGCTCCCTTGGCATACTTCCTGGGGCACTATGAGCTCTCCTCCTCTCATCTTTCTTTCTTTGAGCTTCGGTCATTATACGCCTCAAAACACCAGCTTTGTATATTGGTTTTGGCAAGTGTCTATGCCTGCAAAAGAGAACGGTTAACACAAGATAAGGAGCGTATAAAATCTATTTACCAGTACAGAAGAAAATAAATGATAATAGAATTGAGGTCGATTATCTGTTAACAGAAAATATCCAGCAACGTTCGGTAAAATGTTCCATTTCAGACTCACAATGCAAGAAAAGTTGAAACTTGGATAGCAATATATAGTCCCATTAATTTTGCATTAATTTCTCAAAGTCGAGTTGGGAGTACCAAAGATCCAAATACCGGAAAAAGGCATCACAATTTACTTTTGGTAGCCTTGCAGTTGTGTTTGTGCACGGCACATGTTCGAGGTTCTAACACAAAATATTTCCAATACTCATCTAATTGAGTTTCTTTTAGGGCGAATTTGTCAATATATCAAGTGGGCCCTTTCATAGTCCACTAAATATAATGTACCTGACAATGCGCTTAACCTCTGGAAGATGCTTGTAACGATTCTTGACAGCTTCAAGATATTCATGCTTCTTACGCTCTCTAGGCAAAATCTGTACATATGGGGGGCAATGTGTAAATTTACTAAATGGATACTTACTAAAAGAGGGGAAAATACTATCAAACCAAATACCATACTAACGCATGTTTATGAAATTGAATTTGGCAACCAAGCTTCACTGGCATTGCAGAAAATTAAAAGAACTGTATAAATATCACAAGAAAGAAAAGATCATACAACTCCCTGCTGTTCAGATGCATTAGCCTTCCAAAGTCGAAGATTAGTGTCATCACTACCAGAGATAACATATCTTGAATTATTGCAGTACTTGACACAGAAGACCCTACAAAGATGACAAAAAGATTATAGGACACATTTCATACAAATGTTAAAAATTGATATAACAAAATTGATTGTTCTTTCTAAACATTACCATTGCAGCACCTTCTTAAATTGAGTTTCAAATAAGAACAGTAACACTCATTGCCTATTACAACCACATAACTGCAATGAAAGGGATCTAAATATTAAAAGTTCCAATCAGCAATTTAAACCTTTGCATTCTCTTGGTATGATAAACTTCACGGCTATGACCACCATTAAATTGGAATATTCTAACCTGAAGACAAATAATAATATATTTAAATCATGAAATAGCTGAAAAAGAGATACACAAGTTTCCAATAAAACTAAGGATGAGATAAAGGGAGAAACTCACAGTTCGGTCGTAAGACCCAGTAACAAATTCACGGCCAGTTGACGAGTAATCGATGTCCATACTGCAAAAGGTAAAGGTTGCATTAACACAACAGTTTACTTATTTGGAAAATACATAAGAACTTGAATTGTATTTTGATCACACAAGTGTCTGTCTGTGTGTCCGTGTAGCGGTGGGCTACTTACACAGCAGAAACATGGTCCTGATGCACGCATCTAGCCTCATCCAACTTTCGAGCATCATAACTATAACAATTGCAATCTTCATTTGCCTAAATTAATTCAGTATATCATGTCAGAATTATGACAACAAGGATTGAACAGACATGCCAAAGTCTACACCTTATAAAAACAAAAAATAAAAATTAAACAATATACGAGAAAGTAGATTACTGTTGGCAACTCATCCGTATTTTGTAGTTTCTTTCAGGAGACAGTACAAACAAGTGCAAACGTCAATAGTAGATATATAGATTAAATGACAACTTAGAACCGAATTTCACTATCAGGACAATAAAATGCTATAGAACATGAGTGTCGAGCTCGGTAAACATAACAGATCAGATGCAGATAGAATAAATATGTTACACAACATGTTTTTAACACAGAAGAAGCTTCAGTTTGAAGAATTCAAAAGCTTTACTAAAGCATCACGTAATATTTGATTGAATATAAAAACGACAAAAAAGATCATGGTTTCAGTGTTTTCTTACAATGGTAAAGTTCATTGGCTCCTGTGGATTCCATGCTATAGAATTAGTTTTGGTCTGTGAAAGAAAAAATGAGTCAGACTGAGTACTGACAGATATATACACACACACACATGCCCACTTGGCCATATATCCAAATGATCATACAAAACCAATTCCGATTCACATTTCCAGCTAAAACAATACATTTTAACATGTTTAATACTTAATTGTGAGCACAATAATATCCAAATCTTAACTAAGAGTCTAACAAAACTAACACACAAAATTAATCAAAACTATATGCTCATTTTTCAATGACCGTCTGTACTTAAGATTTTTAACAAAATTTAACAGACAAAATCTTATACTTCAGATTATCTAGAACAGATTGGAGATAAATTATCAATAACAATGAAGTTCTGAAGGTAAACAAGGATTAAAATGCTCAANCAGAAAAAAAAAAAAAAAAAAGGAATTATACTCACCCTCATAATAATCTTTCTTGCCGGAGATGATGCTCGTAAATCAAATAATGTAATGCTACGATCACTGCCATTTGAAAGGTAGATAAGCAATATATTGCAACTAATCTGATGAGAATGGATGAGACAAAAGCAGCTTGTATGAAAAATATTCAGTGAGATACAATTATTTCAATTGCAGGAACAACTGTTCAATGTGCATTATGATGATTTTAACTGTTGATGGCTACTGAATGACTGTTCAACGTGCATTTAAATATACGGAAGACACAAATATGATGAATCTGGTTTGAATAATTGCAGCACAATTTGTTTGTCTATCTCAGTAGAAGCATTTCCTCAATTTACACAAATGTACCTGGATGATGTTGCAAGTAAATTTGGTTCTGCTGGATTAAATCGCACAGATATCACAGTATCTTTACCCCACTCAAAGCTATTAACAGGTTGAGACCTGATAGACAAGAGAAACATAATATGTTACAAACTTATATTTCTCCAAATTGCTCAGAAGATGTCTTGACAATACCTGTTATGATTCCATATATCCACTTGAGCTCCTGCTGTAGCAAAAAGTTCACCTTCATACTGGTGATCAACAGCCCTGAAACCAGNTAAAAGAAGAACTACGTTAATCACATAACAAAAAATTAGTACTTCAAGATAAAAATCACCAAAAGCAGAAAGAAATTATGTTAATGATAATGGTATGATTTCACAAACTAAATAAGAAATAGGTCGCAGGCGAAAATAAATAAATTTACCAGAAGGCATTTTTCCAGATGTAGACTGCTAAAGGCTGCCAGCAATAACACAAAATCGTTAGTTGTGCAGAATCAAAATGAGTAAACTATGCAGACAGACTGGGATGGTCAAACAGATGGATAAGAACCACTGACCTTGGCTTCGTTATGTGAAGAGTAATCAGAGTCCATCAGAGAAGGAATGGGAACACTCCATAGCCTAACACTGAAATGCGAAAAGTTGAGTTTAAATTATCAGAACAAATTGCCAGGTAGCCAATTTAATTATGGTAAGATCAAGACTAAAGTAGCAAAGAGAGACTAGGACTCACGTGGAGTCAGTCCCACATGACACAAGAACTCGGCCATCAGTTGATACTGTCAGACCACGCACAGCACCCTGGTGACCTGGAAACTGGCATACTGTCCGCCTAGTGGCATAACAAGTAGAAAATAATCAGAGCTTGGGCATATTACGAAATGCACCAGAACTAAATGTTACATCTTTATCCTAGGAGATCTAGAAAATATGGATTCTGCTGCATCTTTTAAATTATAGAGGTATCTGTATGCTCACATATACACACATGCAATCAAAACAATGAAAATCTAGACATAACAAACCATAGGCAGATTAATATTGTTACCTGTTAGCCAAATCCCAAAGACGGATATCTGCAAGTCAAAATAAGTAACACGTCTTTTAGTAGTTCTCAGATGTTCCAAAATACCATAAACTCGTCTCAAAAAGCATCATATTGTACAACAAAAATCACTGTGCAATGCCTCCAAATTTTTGTCTCCAGAAAACCAACCAAGTAATTACCTTTACCTTGAGATCATCCCATACAAATTACTAAAGCTTCTGGGCTCTCTTGTACCAAACTAAAAGCGTATAACTAGAAAGCAACAAGAAATAATGAGAGAAATGTATACCTCCATCCATAGAGCCTGAAAATATTCCCTTCAAATGAACGGGGTTCTTAGCCATAGAGGAGATCGCATCAATGTGCCCATCCAAAGCGCCAATAAATGGCCGAGCAAAAATCTTTCAGAACCAAAAAGGTAGCGATTTCATTAATCCATCAATGGAATCCTCAAGCCCAGGTTGAAAATCTAGAAGAACACACACAAAGTCTAACTACGACATCAAATTTTGAGGAGAAAGAGGTACCTTATCCAACTTTGCCGCATTGAGAGCGCGAACATACTCGACGGCTTTCTCTTGAGTTCGGAGAGTAGGGTCAAAGTTACGAAACACTCTCTGCGAAAGGCAATGAAACCCAATTGTCACCAGACCAAGAAACAGATAAATAAGGTAGGGATTCAGCAAAACCGCCATGTTATCGCAAAGGAGGGCTGATACCTGAAGGTCTTGGCTTCGTTCCCGAGTGAATTCATCCGTGGACCGAGAAATCACCTTCACCTTCATCTTGTTGTATGTGTCGACTTAGCTGCGACAAGTGAGAACTTAAAACCCTAAACCCACCCCAGCATGGAGTTGGAACGAGCTGAACTGCGGTGCGTGTGTAAACACGTGACCCATGCGCGCGTGGATTCTGTGGGTGGATATATCATAAATATTCTGGAGAAAAAATAAAAAAGGAAATAAATAAAGTTTTTTTTTATTATTATTTATTTGGTCAACGATACACATAGAAGTTATATTAACTCAAGAAAAACCAAAATTTAAATTTATAAACGCCACATACCACACGAGATACCCGCAAACCCTCAAGCAAGAGCCTAGAAGCTAAGCTACAGGGAAACTCACACGAGCTCCTAGAGAAGCTAAAAGAACTAAAGAGTTCAGACAAAATAAAAATATCAGGTGTCAAAGTATCCCAAACAGTTCCCAAGGCTAAGCCTTTTTTGGGCTTCTTCAGGAGTTGTTTATTGTCAAGACACATGATCACCTTGTCCATTGCTGGTCAGCCACCCTCTCCAAAGCCCACCTCATTGCTACTAACCAAGTCTCCACTAATTTCTATAGAAAACCCTAGATACATCTTCATCAAACACTAGGTCAGATTTAAAAAAAGTTACACACCTCAAATCGATCACCCTTACATTCACAGAGTTGGCACTCACTAAAACAATGACATCCTCACTCTTAGCTAACATGCCCACCTAACTCCTAACCACTCTATTCCCCTCCGTTACTACTCTGACTTTTACCACTTCTTTCACCTCTTGAAACCCTAGCCAATCCTCCTTAGCACTCTCCACCACCCTTTCCTCTGCAACCCATACTTTTTCAAATACACAAGAATTTCTATTTTTTCAAAGCCCACACCAAATAAGGTAAGTCGATAAACCTATCTTATCAAAGAGGCATTTGGAATTATCAACACTACACACCTTCACCCTCTAATCCCTTAGCTTAATCTTCCCTCTAGCCTATTCCACTCTACCCCAATAAGTTTCCAACAACTAATAGCCTTTGGGCACCTAAAGAAAATGTGCTTTATCCCCTCACCACAGCACCAACAAATACAATCTATATCCATACCTCTTTTCTTCATTTGAATGTTTGTACTCACATACCCATGCCAACTTCTCCACATGAAGTTCTTGATTTTATCTATATCCATACCTCTTTTCTTCAATTGAATGTTTGTACACACATACCCATGCCAGCTTCTCCACATGAAGTTCTTGATTTTGTTTTGAATTGGGAGTTTCCATGTGATTTGTCACATCTTTTATACTTGATCTTTGCTTTATTGGTACCTGCTTCTGCACTTCTTGTTTTCAGATGCTTCGAAATAGCTTCATAAGTAGACTTAACAGTAACAATCCAGACTTGTTATAGTGCCAAACTAATTTGCCTTTGGCCCCCACAATGACTCAAAGGAATCTGAATGATAGCTTGAGTCATCACAAGGTCAAAGGACTGACTCACTAACTCATTATCCAACTCACCACTCACCTTGCAAATCAAATCACTTACTTTTCCCTACCTAAATCTATCCCCCTAGAAAGGACAGTAGGGTTTGAAAGAGGGCACACTTCGGATCCAAGGAGCATCACATATGTCCACTGCCCTGCCATTACCTATCTGATATCTAGCCCCTAACGTCATGGAATCCCTCACTCCAAGCCAACTTTTCCATAACCAAGAGTCTCCATCCCTAGGCATGACATCCATTAATTTAACTTTATGAAATTATCTACCCCTCACAAACCTACTAATAAGGAGATTGGGATTAGTCAAAACCCTCCACAATTGTTGAACAATAAGAGCTTCGTTAAAGGCCCTTAAGTCCCTGAAGCCCAACCCCCATCAGACTTAGGCTTAGCCAAACTAGTTCACTTCTAATCAAGTCGACTCGTACCCTGAGCTGCCTAAGAGAGTTCCTCAAATCGTGCAATACCCAAGCTACCCTCTCAGGTCAGTTCACCCAGATATTCTTGGTACTATATTAAGGACTATAAAACACCAAATTTAACACATAGAGTAACAAGAATTGTGAATTATACTTGAAAAACTATTCATCTATACATAAAGACACATAAGAACAATCAAGCAAACTTTAATCATATATTTAAAAAGTTAAAATATTAACTTATTCTAGGATAATATCCTCTTTTTTTACCTCTTTACCCTTTAAATTTACACCTTTTTTTAGCCCACTTAAAACAAAAAGCTTTGTCGCCACCGTCTCTGCCGAGCCTTCACCTCTCTCTGCTGCACAATCCGAGGGAACATGGCTCTAGCCGTCATCAGTCCGAGCAGCTCGTCCCATTAGGAGTCGTCCGCGTCGGCTGGCTCTGGCCTTCACGGGTGAGTGGGTCGGAGTTGAGGTACGGTCAATTTCTCCTCTATTTCTATTTCCCGGTGTTAATGGGTGCTAGGAGTCTGTTTTGGCCGGTGGTGTGGAGTGCGATCCCGATCGGTAGTTAGGCTGGGGTTGTTCGTTGGTGGTAGGGAGGAAGTGGTTGTCCTTGTTAGTGTAGATCCCAACAGTCCTTTGGTAGTTGGTCTGGGGGTAGCCGTTTGGGAGGAGTTTGGTCCGATTACAGTTCTAGTTAGCCACTTGTTGGAGTTTTCGGTCCAGTTCTCGGGTTGGAATTCTTTCTTTTGTGCGGTCGTCTTCGTATGTCGAGCCATTGATTGTTGTGTATTGCTTATCGGCGCGAGGAGGGTGTTATCCTAGCATTACTAGAGTTAGTATTTGTGTTGTGTTTTAGTTGCCTTGTTGGCCTTTTGTTTTAGTCTTTTGCTTAGAAGTTCTATTCTCCCTTGTAGGAGTGTATAGTTTGTCTGGTTTGTGGGTGCATTAGTGTAAGTTTCTAGGCTACCCCTTAGATTCAGCTGGATGACTGTTTAGTTATTCCTAGTTGTATCTATGTTTGTAATAATGTGTTTTATTATTCTAATCTATCGTTTCAAAAATAAAAAATAAAAAAATCCAATGTTGCTCCGCAATGTCACTTTACTTTGGAGTTGTACGAAAAGCTTGCTTCAGTACTTCAGTAAATTTTCGCATTACTTTGGAGATGTAAACCTTATCGCACAACAAATAGATGTAAACCTTACCCGTTACATTTCTCTCTCAAAATTTTATGTTCTTTTTTATTGGTTTTTGTTTTTGTTTCTATCTATTTTGATGCATCAATTTACAAAGTTCTATAAATTTATTTATGTTGTTAAATAGTTTTAAATTTTGATTTTATTATTGTAAGTAGCCACAGACCGCCCGACCTGCAGACCCGGCCTAGTCAAGCCTGGCTCAAATTTTAACCTGGACGGTTCAAGGCCATGTTTTTTCGATCCTAGCCCAGCAAGCCGAGCCGATTCATCACCATATATTTTGTTTTATTTTTTATTTTTATTTTTTTGGACGAGTCTCTAACCTGGGTTGGGTCCAGCTTAGCCCGCTGGGTCACCAACCCTGCACGTGCTTAGGTAAGGACCGATTCCGAGTCACCCATTTTTGAACCCTAGAGGCCCGCCAGGCCGGACTGGGCTGGGGTCCAGACCCAACTCGAGTTTTGACTGGGTAATTGTACATCAATTTTGTTTTGTACTAACATGAGTAAAATATAACACGGACAACTGATGACAAGAGTTAATATTAACTTTCTCTACTTTTGAATAAACTCCAAATTTCGGTTTTCTGTACTTTAAGTAGAATAAACTCCAAACTGGAGTACAGAAGGTTGACTACTGTAATGAAACTCCACTCTAAAATAGAGGCTTAACTCTGTCAGTGGATGACCACCCTGTTACACAATGTTCTAAAAACCGTACCGTACCGACCGGTATAACCGGATACCGGCCATAGGTACAATACAAAAACACTCAAAATACCGAATTTTCGATAATACCGTGTTGTACCAATATCATACCTATAACGTCAAATACCGGTGTTAAATACCGGTTTGGTAAAAAAAATAAAATAAAAAACCATACCGCTGCTGCCATATGCACACTAAGAACCTGATATTTTTATTTTTAAATAAAAAGCCAAAAACTGAAAGCATACTTGTGGGTGACACTAGTAGATGTAATTTTTACTCTTTAGCATCACTCAATTTTTTATATTTTCAATATGATATCTTATATAAATATATAATGTTATTTGTTTAGTAGTCCGGTAATACCACTACGGTTCGACCGGTAATACCGCATACCGGTGGCTAGACCGGTATGGCCACGGGTACGGTATTTAAAACATTGCTGTTACATACAAATTTGGCCGTCAATAGGTTTATAAAAACGCTACTGGTGCCAACACGACATTAGTTGCCAAAAATATCATCTTCAGGTCTTTTAATTGGACACCGGTGCAAGAACCGACCAACAAAATTTCGTATTTCTGCAACCGCACACTTTAGAGCTTCGGTACATCCATTATTTCAATGACGATGCAAATCAAGCAGTTCGAGAAAGACATAAAACCAAGAATAAATATATATTAAAATCTTCTTCCATCAGTACACAACACGACATCCCTCGCGAGATAAAACAAATGAAACATACACAAAGCTGGCATTACAAAATCCGGTCCATCCACTTTCATATTTGTCGATTGCCACTAACTGGTGTTCTGATACAGTTAAGCTATTGACTCAGAAATATATTTTGCATAAGCAAAAGTTGGGATTTCTAAAAAAAGGGTCGGATCATAATCATGAACAACTGACCTCAACTCTCTTCTTTGTATTCTGGATTCTCTTTTAATATGACAAATCCCTCAAGAATGGGTGACAATGGAATATATCTGCAAAATTAATTGAACATCAGTTGTATTTCCAAAACTCCACAACCATTATAGAAAACACACAACAGATCAAAAGATAATATAGTTCGGGTTCAATTAGCTCAAGAAAATAAAATTAGATAAACACCTCACAAATACAAATCTCATGTAAGTACTATAAAGGGAAATTTCCAATTTCGGAAGAGTTAAAGAGGTTCTGTTAGAAATTAGTTCACCTGGCTACTGCAATTTGATTGGTGTACTTTAATACTTTAAAGACAAGGACTTACTTCTCAGTTGCAAGCTCAGCTCTATCACCAGCAGCCAAAAGAACAGGAGTTGAGTGGGTCTGAAAGCCCGTGATGGTCTTGGGTCGACCCGCCTGGCCAACAACATCAACAGCTTGACCCACACGAACAGGTACAGAAAGAGGTTTTAGGTTCTCATCCACAGTCATCAGCATTCTTGGCTGCAGACAAAGGTCACATTCGTTAGAAGGCCAGAGCGCAAAAACTGGAGTGATAAGCAAATGATTCAAATATGAGATAAATCAACGAACCTGCATTGCAAGAGTAAGGAAATATAGAACATAATGATATTTGCCCAAGATGATAGCTTTTATATCCAGACACGCATGCAGCATAATCACAAGCCCAGCAAGCGACGTCCTGGAAGTTAAAAAAATCAAGGTTTAAGATTGCACGAGCTATTTGTAAATTACGAGAAGGAAAACATAAATCATATTACAAATCATATAATCCAGCATAAAATTATGTTAGATCATTCATCCCACTACAATGGCTAAGACTATACATACCAACCAAAGCCTCCAAAAGATGAGCTCATACACAAATGCAGCTTAGGACTTATTATCCTTCCAAGTATAACCATGTATTACACACACACACATGAATTCCTCTTTTCGGTTTTACAGCAAAGCACACATACACTGTGCGTAGTCCAGGTTCCAGGAAGCGTATAATCTAACTCACTATTGACAATAAGTGCAAAATGAACTATTAGTAGAATACTTACGGGGACAACAGAAAACGTTCAGAATGATATGGAGATAATGTCAACAACCCTTTGCCCAGGTGGACAAGACCTTGAGCAATCCGTACCTGGAGAATTAAAAACCACATTTTGGATTTTACATTATACCAATTTTGAACAAGTATTTGAATGAGTACGAAAATCATATCATTATTTAAATGCATGGAATCCATACACAGAATAGAAGGCTGGCATCTTTATAATAATAGCTCGAAAGATTCCGAAGCATTCCAGCTATTCTAGCATTGTTGGTGCCAGCACCTATCAAACCCAATGAAATGATGGCTGCCTGCAAATTTTAAATTGACAAATTGATTGAACTATATAAACTTACAAACAATACACTGCCAAATGCAAAACCGTAGTTCAACAACTTGATCATTTCTCTCAATTCCGACCAAACAGAAGAGGAAGAAGGAGAATCAAATTACCATTGCTACTTCTGAGTCGGCATCATGACTGAGCCTACTTAATGTGTCCATGACATTGACCTGTCCAGATGGAAAGAAAAATAAAAATAAACAAACAAACATATAAAAAATCTCAACCAAATGTGTAATCAATGTTTACATTAAACCTTGTCTGAGCAAATAGTGACTATTTGACTTCCAAAATATTTTTGACCTCCTTTTTCAGAAAGGCAAAATATAAAAACAATGCATTAATGAAAAGTTTGTGCTTAACAGCAGATCAAGTTCCTTGCTCTGGCAAGCACAAGCCGGAATCCCACAAACTTCTAGCTGGGGGGATTTATTTTTTCACAGAACAATTGCAATTGCTACATTTGAAAAAGAAAAGGCCACATCATTTAATAGAACACGGCCCAGTAACACATTACCTTGGGGTTTGATATGCAAAGCAGACCAAGGGCCAAGGGAACAGCCCTCCTAATGTTCTGCTCACCATACTGCAGAAGATGCTCCAATGATCGAATCGCCATCTCAAGCCCCAATTCCTCAGCCATAGCTACCATAGCAATTCCAAGAACAGCAGGACCCTGATAAGTTTCACCCTTCTCGAGATGTTGTGCACATTGACCAAGGAAATGTTGGACCTGAAAATAGATGAAGTTTAATTATCTTTTAAAATACACAGATGGTGCAATTTGTCATATACAGAAGCAAATATCAGGAGGTTATATGTAAAGTTGAAAGATAGCTAGGTTTCCAGTAATTAGAGTCAATTTCTAGGGTATCTTTTTGTAATTAACCAAAAAACCAGGGCAGGACTTAACACCTTTAGAACATTCCCCTTCCCTGCATATGCGCAAGACAGCAGGGTCATGTCGCAATGTTTTCTAATTTTCTCATTGAATGTCTTCGAAACTTCAGTAGTAGCTTCCACCGCTTCCTGTTCAAGATGGGTAAAATATTAATAGCAATATCTCTGGTACACATTGAAATGCATTGGTATCTGTACTGTAACAGATACCTGATATATGACATAACAAATACTTAACACACACTATGAAATGACCAACAAACCTACCTCCTTTCCGAGATAAAGCAGACCAAGACCCAGTGGCAAGAAACGAGCTAAGGGATCCGTCAATTCTGTCTCACTGCGATCCATCAACGCAAATATGATTGCTTGGGCAACATCTTCATTACAAGAACCCACGTATACCAAACCCAAAGAGATTGCTGCAAATGCAATCACATCTAGAGATGACTTTCCATCCCCAAGTAGAGGCATTAATAAATTGCTAACCTGAGAACACACATAGGGAATGAATGATGTCAGATCTAGGCAACTGGCCATATGACAAAGATGGGATGTCTACATGCATTTCAGCAATTGAACAAGCACTATAATTGTAAGAGTAGTCTCAAATTGGATGATGACGATACTTACTTGCGCATCCTTAGAACCCGCATATGCAAGACCTAGGCCCATTATTGCACCTATTTTAATTGAAGTGTCTTCTTTGTCCACATACTCTGCCAAAAGAGCTAGAGCCTGAGAAAATAAAAAACAAATTTATATGCCATGCACTTTCATTTGAGGAACATTAAAATTTGACGACTCAAGGTGAAAACATAAAATACATAAATAGAATATTTTGAACTCGTGTGTGTTATAGCACGGCAACATTTTGGACAAGGGGTAAAAAAGAAAATCTTACAGGATCACATTCATTCTGGACATTGCAGTTCACAATTCCAACTCCTAGTAAAGCACCGGCTGTGACATGTGAATCAGTACTATGGAAATATTTGTCCAGTTGAGCAAGCCCAGAGTCAACATCCCAAAGAAGAATCATGCCCTGCAGTAATTAGCACACACAGTGGTTACTATAAAGCCATGTAATGATATATCTAAAACAAGGAAGAGTTGATACGCACCAAACTTGCTGCAGCACTGGCCTTTCCATGTTCCTTGTTCTTAAAGAGCCAGCTAGTGGTAGAACCACCACCACTGGATGCTTCAGATGGAACAGTCATCAACTTATCCTGAAAAACACCTCACCAGAATAAATAGAAAGGGAAGACTTGAAAATATTCACATTAAGTTAATTATGGTTACTAGACAAACCTGGCCAAAACCAGCATTTACAAATGCATTGACAAATGTCGCAGCCAAATTCTGCCTGGCAGAATCAACGGTTCCTCCACCACCACCACGCCCATCAAGTAGATGTGCCTAGTTACATATTCAGCCAAATTCATGTGTTTTAAAAGTGGGAAAGAACAAAATATAAGAATATAAACCACCCTATAATAACAGCTAATAACACAGTTACCAGATATTACATTCAGAAAAATGTTTATATGTGAAGGAAACAAGAACGATGAAAGATGCAACACCTAAGGGCGTGATTGGATATGAATCCAACCGGTTTTGGCTGGATTTGGTTGGGTAAAGGGAGTTATTTTGGATAAAGTTGATTGAGTTGATGATTTTGAGTTTATAATTAAATAATGTAATGATTAAAGTTGATGCGATGTAAAAGTAGGAGAGAGGTTATTGGAAATGATGGGTAGTTAAAATTATGTGAATGGATGAATAGTGAATTAAAGTTGATGTGATGTGTGAGGATGATTGATTGGTATTATTTAATATTATTGTTAAAAAGTAGGAGAGTTAGGTTGGGTTGGATTTTGATTGGTATAAAATAACACAGCCGGTCAAAGTGATTAAAAATCAGTTATAACTAATGACTCATCCAATCGCGGTCTAAAAAGCTCATTACAAAATCAAAAAACCTCAGAGTGCAAAACCTTGTAAATATCCTCGGGAGATTTGGGCTCCATGACTTCAATATCACGAGCAAGTGTAAGATACCCTTCATTCAACTTGTTATTATTGATGAGATCTTGCATGGCTTCCCTTTCTTCATCTTCTTTGATCATGCTTTCATCAAGTTCAAAGGGAACACCCTGTTTATAAAGTTGGTCATGAGCATGTTTTAATCATACAGCACAGGCCTGGAAGAACTTAAGCAGGATCAAAAGAAACTTGGTCCACATACTACAATCAGCAGGTTAGCCTCTCAAGTTCCAGACGTACAAGGTTGTATTTGATAAATAATCAACACAAGCTATTGCCTTCGACTGCTAAATAGTGACTGAAAGACTTTTAACTTTATCAGGGGTACAAAAAACAACTGGAACAAATGGTTGATAACCGTGCCCCTTTTACAATTCATAATTAATCTTTTGGACATGATTTCTCCGTAACTGCTGAATAAAGTAACCTCACAACAGTGACTTCACTAATTCTAAACATTAAACAGCACCACAATACCACTTAGCAATTCCTTAGACCTTTCCCAGTTGCACAATTGAAACCAAATCCCAAATTACTCAAGAGAATGCCCAATACTTTTGCCCTTTAGAAATGTTTTTTTTAACCAGGAAACCTATCAAATCTCTAAATATCCAATTCAAGACCAGTGGCCTAAAACTGACAAACATGGGGTTGATAATATATTCCCCTGTACTAGAGTGACAAATCCACCAACAAAACCACCAAAAAGATCAAAAGCAGTCAAAAGGAAGGGCAACAAGTTGATAGGCAGTAAAAAAGGATTCCAAAGAAAAAAAAAAAGCGAAATTCCAGATGACTTACATGGCGAGCCAGAATGAAGGCAAACTGCTGCCTAGTGAGACGATCATGGCAAGTTTTGAAAAGGTCTTTTACATACTGCAGAGAATAGCAGAAATCAGATTTGGAATAGGAATCTACTATATTTTAGTCCATTAGACAGGGCATGCATGTTATACATGGGAGTTAGATTTCATGACCATGAATATTTAAAACTCACAGCATTCCACAAAAAACCTTATAAAGCTCCTGTATTATTTTTAATTTAAGACAACAAAAGTGAGCATCGCACAACCTTAATAAGTACAAACCTGCGAATTTCCAAGATACAAGGCTATTTGAAGTGCTCTTGGATATTCTTCGAATTTCATATATATTGAATAAGCAATATCTAAAACTAGCGAGTCGTCTGGTCCTGGAAGGTACCTGACACATGCAGCATACATTAGTTAATGACACCATAACATATCTTTGGTTCTAATTGTCTTTGTGAGTTGCTAAAGTTTATGTCTCCGACACCTAGACTCGTCTGTGGCCAGGCTGGAATGTGATTCAGAATAAGCATGCAACCACTTAACAGGAGCGAATAACTGAAAGCCGAGCCTTGCATTATTGGGCTTAAAACAACAAATGCACCAATGCTTGAGGACATAGGACCAAATAACAATTGAATTTCTATCAAGGAATAATCTTTTACAAAGTTAAGAAAACGAATTTCTGCTCCCATTACGACGGTGAAGACAAAAGACAGTCACATTCCAGAAAGTTCTATATATAACCTCAGGCCTCGTTCCAGAAAATACAAACATTTATCTGGAGAGAAAACTAGCATTCCCATTATATAAACCAATAAAATTAGCACGTTCAGAATTCATACAGTTAAGGATAAACAAGTGATGCTATAATAGCTAACTGACAGAAGAATCTGGCAACCACTCACTTTGCAGCACTGGTAAGATAAAGGCATGTCCGTTTGTAATTTGCATGATCCACATGCTCCATTAACAGATCAAGGTCTTCAATCTGGATGGTAAGGCAAGTGATGAATTTATCTTCTATGATTCTATCTTCTCATGCGGCAGAAAAGGGGTAAAGAAAGCTGAAAAAGTAGCGGAAATACCTCCATAAGAAGATCTACCGCCTCAGGCTCAGCATTATGCTGCAAATAGATACATTTAAATGAATGAAATGCAGCAGCTCGAAGTTGCACCAAATGCAGTTTCTTGTACATTATGAATGAAAAGCAGATCTAAATGCATAATAATAATACCAAATTACCAACAGTCAATATAATGACGGATAATCATACCTTCATATGGAATGCAACAATTTGCACCACAAGCTTCACTAGTTCATCAATAGAGGCTTCTTCACTCTGACATAACAATGCAAATACATTAAGAAGCTATGACAAACCATTTCCTACAGGCATGTTCAAAAAATAGTCCCAACTAATAAAAAATGAAATTTCCTTCAACTCTATCAACTAAATTTCCCTGGTTAAATTCTCGAATCTAGAACAAACACATCCACAGAACCAAAAGTACATTCTTAGCCGGCTTTCCAAAGGAAAAAAATGAAACGTGAATAAATAAAAGAATAGTTGGTCGTTTCATTGGGATAAATTTCCAAATTCACATCATCGGAGTTGTGTTTCCTAGGAACATTTGTTTTCTCAAGAAAAATGAAAAAGCATTGTGAGGTGACGACATGCAAGCAATTGTTCAGACTCTGTACAATAAAAACTCTAACCTGTCGTTTGACATACTCCTGAGAAATTTCTCCAGCCAAATTCCTGCATTTATTATGACCAGCTTTAAGAATACTACAGATAAACATCCACAGCAAGGTTGCAGCTCATATACTAAACAATAAGTTCCCTAAAAAAAAAAACTCCTAGCCCAGTGAACAAATTAAGTGAAAAAATAGATATATCCCTATGTTTCTTAATTTATCCTTCCCATGTTTTGTATTAGTGTCACTTTGAAGTTTCTATTTAGAATAAAGGAATATAAAAGTTTGGCGTAGATATATCCCTCTGTTTCATAATTTATACTTCCCATGTTTCGTATTTAGAATAAAGGAATATAAAAGTTTGGCTAATACACCCCTAATTAATTAATAATATTCCTAATTAATGTTTATCTCTCTCTATACACATTATTATCTTGTTAACGTGATTTTGTTTTTATTCTTAAAATAAAGACACAGTTGGAAATGGTGGCAAGAACTTCCGGAACATTTAATTTGTAAAAACAATAAACCTCTAAAATAACATTTGATACAAAACAAAGGTAGCAGTCATTGATGTATTCGATAACAGTGAGCTAAGACACAGATCATTCATGCTCAAACAGAATGACGACTTGAACAAAATAATCCAAGGCGAGACGAGTCCAAACCCTCACCTAACATACTCATGACCCCATGAACCAATGTCACCATCAGAACCAAGTAATCGGTACTTCAAGCTCTCCTGAAATTAATAGTATTTGGAAATATTATCACATCTCATATGGAAAAGTTTCCACAAAAATCTGATCAAGCACAAACCATTAATCATATTGCAGTCAGTCAAAGCAAAATTAAAGAGTAAAATGAAAGAGCACAGAAGAACCTGTAAGACATAAAGATATTATACATGAGATATAGGCTGAGGTTCTGGAAAAAAACATCTATTGCGTAGGCAGCAAGCAACAGGCTCATGAGAGATGCCTGGAAGAATTAAAAAGTTAATCCTATTTTTTCACCAAAAAACCTTTATTTTTTCTTCTCAGGCTACATCCAGCTTCAGATAAAGTAGAAATAATTTATAAGCTCCACTTCTCTTCGTCAATTATCATTTCCAAACACAAATCGAGTCAAACATTTCCATTGTAAAATACAGAAATAATTCAACTAATGAAGCCACACAATAACTTATTCAATTATAATCAGAACAACATCTCACTTGAATAAAACAGAACGTGGTACCGATGCAGAAAATATATGCAAGTGCAAACTAAAATTTCACATTCCAACATGAATTACTCTCGATTCTGCAAAAAATATTCGAAGCAGTAAATGTTCTTCCATTTCTATTCACACTATCGGGCAAATAGAGTCTACTTATGAATGGTGAAACAGCTATAATACATCAAAACCCACGGTGGCAAACCAAAAGATCACATAGAATTGGCTGTGCACAGTAACAAAATATTGAAAGTAATAAAAGGGGAATGCATAAAACAGGTAAACGGAAACCACAGGTAGATTAATCTGCTCTTTTTGCTTATTCCACAAGGTGTCCCAAAAAAATCTGGAAAATGACGAAAGTGCATCGTAAAGTATGGCGTAACAGTACAGCGTACCCTTTCTCCTTCCGGCGACATGGTCAAAGCCAGAACAGAAAGTATATCCGCCAGCAATTTCTAGAAAGAGAGGGGACAAGGGAAAATCAGACAAGAAATACGTGCAATACATCTATGCCACGGAAAATCAAGATAATCAATGAACCATATAATTATCACCTTCAAATCTGTATCTGCCATTTTCTCATACTGAGCTTGTAAAGTCCCATAATGAGGACGTAAGAACTTCAGTGGCTTTGGAACTGAAGTCATAGAACTGGTTGCAGTACGGATTTCTTGCCTGCAGAAGAAAAGAAAGTTGAAAATGACGACAAAACTATTGAAAATACTAAATAGCTTCTACTGCTACTTGAGGCAAAATACATTTTATGTGTGATTATTAAACACACACAAATATGGAAAGATATTGAGCTTACAACTTTGCCTAGTAGAATGAATCCAAACTGACATCTCAAAAGACATTGCTATAATTACCAAAATAAAATATTAAAGACGTACAATGCCAGACAGCAAGATTAATGCCAAAGCATCGGCCTTGAAGGTTTTATGATGAGACACACAGGTTAAGCTATTAAAATCCTTAGTACATAGTAATACAGTATTAGCCTAAACAGATGTTAATTTCTATTTTGAAATCCTAGTAGTTCAAGAAGGAGAAGTCTTTCGCCTAAACAGTAGCTATTTGCTTGAGAAGAGCTATGCAGTATGCATATTACATATTGATATTGCAACATAGTGTTATCCTTTCAGGTGCTTTGGTTCATTAAAGTAGCCTTCCACTGAAGATGTTGATGTTCTTCTCTTTCAATAGGTAACCTTCTCTACTTCCATGACATTACCCTAATTCTTAAATAATACTATACTAACACCAAAAAACCGAAGCAGCCCCATTCGATAGTATTAAACAGTATATTGTAGACATTGACTAGAATGATATCCATATTTACATCATTATTAACTACCGAATTAACATGCTCGAAATGCTAACTACCGAATTAACATGCTCAAAATGCTAACTACCAAATTAACATGCTCGAAATGCCACACTACAGGCTCTCTTTTGACATACTATACACATGACTGATATAAAAGTGAAATGGCCATGGAAGAACAGCCCACATGCCAACTGGCTCATCCGGCTCTTAAAAATAGATATATCAGCTTCTACCACAGTTAGGCCACATTAATGGGTTGAAATTTCAAAAGCAAATATATACCCTTTCCTCTCCCAAACTACTCAACAACCCTAATCGCAGAGATAATGAGTAATTTCATTTCCAATTAATCAAAAAACGAAGTACTTGCTGAAATATAATAACAATAAAGAAAAGACAAAGACCTCATGCTCTCCAGGGCAACTTTCTGCAGCCCAGGATCTGGGTCTTGTACCCTCTCCACGTACAACTCCAGTTGCTGCTTCAAGGCCAAGTCCTCCTCCGACTAAAACGCAAAAACAAGAGGTGCATTAAGTCAATGAACAGTCCATATCAGAAGCAACAACCCAAACATTCGACTGTAAAAAGTAGAATCTCACACAATCCAACCTTCTTTAAGCAATTAAAATAAATAAATAAAATTACGACTTACAAGATCTTCGTCCTTCTTATCATCTTTCTTCTTGGGGTCTTTCGAGGGAACCTTGACCGGCGCCTGGTCTCTGGTGGCTCCGCCACTGGCGCTGCCGCCGCTGTTGGGTTCCGCCGGTGCCATAGATAATTAACTAAAAGATGCTGAAATCCTACAAGTACCGATTGATCCAAACCCTTGAATCAAACAGTGAAAGTTAAACTGAAAAGTGGGAATTTGACAAATGCTTATGTGATTCAGAAAATTTGAAGGACAACAGATGCTCGAGTCTTCAGAGATGATCGATAAAGCTTGAAAAGCTTCGATAAAATAAAATGTACGAGGGTTTCCTTTTTGACAAGCTAACTGTTGTGTGACAGACAAAAAAAATGGGCTCATTGGGCCGTCCCAAAAGTTTAAGGCTAAAAGGCCCACTATAACCCCTTCAAAAATTAATATATGAGATGCGGATTCATTTGATGAGATTAATTGAAAGGACATTTTCATCTATCCTACAAGATTTTAAAAATATTGCAAAAACACAATTCATAAATAAATAATTACATCTCTACCTAATATGTAATAAATAACTACATTAATGCCTAAAGTAAGTCACCATATCCATTCAACTTCCATCCCCCTTTTTGTGGGCTTGATTAAGAGAGAGAAATGAAAAATAATAACTGACTCATTTAATTCTTTAATTCACGCAGTTTGTACATTTGTAATTCACGCAGCCGTCAGGTGGTATATTTTGCGTTTATGTTGGTATATATTCAGTATATGTTACAATGAAGAACATGTCGTCCATCAAAAAATTATGTCTTCTTTATTTTTTTTTTTTTNTATGTCTTCTTTTTTTTTTTTTTTTTATTTTTTTTACTTTTAGACATAAAAGTATATATAAACATATTATAGCAGTTACTTATATTCCATATACAAACAAATATACTGCAAATATACTGTACATATGCCCGTCGAACGTCTTCCTGTTAATGTTATGAGAAAATATACCGAGAATATACTGATAATATACCGTCGAACGTCTTTCTGTTAATGCCATGAGAAAATATACTGAAAAGATATTGATAATATATCGAAAATTTTTAACTTTTACATACTATCGAACGTCTTCCTATTAATGTCATGAGAAAAAATACTGAAAATATACCGAATATAAACCATACATATAAAAAAAAATCATCAGTTTATGCTTTGTCAATATAAACCATACATACAAATAAGGTAGCCCTTATATTATACAGAACATATACCCTATATATACATAAAAATTATGTCTCGCGATAAATTTCTTTATCATATACCGAAACTATACTGAATATAAACCATACATACAAAAAAAAATCAAATTTATGCTGTCAAAATCGTTTTCTAATACATGACATATACTGAACAGTGTATAAAAAAATCTTCTAATATATTGGACATATACTCCCGTGAACATATACTGTACATATACCGTCGATATACTGCACATATACTACAATCCAAAGTCCGAATTTCAACGTAATCCTAAAAAATTGAAACAAAATTCAATTTTCCTGCATCAATGGCTCGCCCACAATTTTGTTGGTGGCGGGCTCGGCCCCAAACCCTTGCGAAAAGGCCGTCGAAGACCATTACCTTCTGAAATTCCTCAAGAACAAGATCGATTACCGCAGGATCCATGGGATCGAAATCGTGTACAACATGGCTAATCTGGATAAAGAAATGGCCGGATATTGGGCAAAACTCCCTCTAATCAGGCGTCTAATGTTATCCCATCCTGAATTCGAGTGGGTCTGGTGGATAGACAGTGATGCCCTTTTCACAGCCTTCACCTTCGAGATATGAAATACAAGGATCACAGTATATCCTTGTTCTTTGCAGAGAAGAATAATTTCACAATGAACAAAAAAAATTTGCAGAGAACAATTCCACTCACGGGAATTAATTCTACTCCCCAAAAGGATACCCACTCACGAAAATTAATTACACTTGACAAATTAATTCCACTCACCAAAATAAATCTACTCGCGAAATTTGAAAAAAGGAAAATAGGTCAACTTTTGAAATAAATCCGTGAAATTCACTAACCTTTTACCCAAATTTTTACGAGGAATCAGCCAAACAAAAACGAAATCAACACCAGAATTCACAAGAACAAAGGAAGCGCGAGGGATGGGAGATGATCGGAGGACGTTCTCGTCCGCGAGGCGACGGTGCTTGAGCGAGGCGGAGGTAGATGCGGCGGCGCGAGGAATGGGGCTGGCTTGGGCGGTTGGTTTCTACAGTGAGAGTTTTAATTTTGTTTGTCCCTAAAGGAGATCCTTAATTTCAATTAAAGATTTGATTAGCATTTAATATGTAGAGAAAAAAGGAAATAACGTTAATCCCAATATCAGGTAAAATTGAAAATATTTTGGCTTGGTTAGGCAATTTTATAAATAAAAATATAAGGGACATATAAGTGTAATAAAAATCATAATTGATTGTAAGGGGTGTAAATTCCTCTTAATTGAACTCAAAAATGTCTGGCCCGAGGTTCATATTTATAGATATTGTGTCCACTCTTCACAACCCACCCAACCACCATCTGGTTGTGATCCATAATTCTCCCCATTCAGCAGCCCTGATATAATTCTAGAAATTAAATATACAAATAAAAACTACCTACCTTAATATAAATACAATTTAAGGGAAATGTCACATGCCCACGGTGGGCACATGTTAATATGTCCATCGACTTATGTGGCATGCACACATTGCTTAAGTATTTTTTTTAACATATTAACATCAGCGGTGGACATATTAACATGTGCCCACCATGGGCATGTGAGCATTTCCCTACAATTTAAATAATATTATCGTAATCAAACATTTTCTCAAAACTATCCTAAGATAGGAAACTCAAATTGCAAATTGTTGACGACCGATTTGATTTTTCAAGATTAATTAAATGATCAATTATTTTATTTTATTAATGGTCCTTTGATTTTGTTTCTGACGACCAACTTAATTCAACTCGGTGCAATTAAGACATCGACCGACTTTGGACAACTGAAGAAATAACTGACTAATCGCCTTACTCCCAGACCAACTTCACATTAAAGACAAAGAAACCAACCTCGCAGACGTTTATACTAAAGATTATCCGTTCAAACCGAGATTCAAGGTAATTGAATTCCAAAACAGGAAGCGCTGTACACTTTTAATTGGACTATCAAGTCAAAGAATAATCATTGATGTTCCCTCACAGTATTACACGCCGTTTTATTGAAGTTGTTCAACATTTAATGCAACCTGATCTACCTCGAACAAAAAGACAAAATCACCATACTATAAATAGCGGAATTTATGACTGTACAATGATCTTTTTTTCCGCACATTATACACGGACTATAAAAACATCTCGGTTACTCACAAAACCGACTTCCTATACTATCAAAAAATAATCAATAATACAAAAAATTTACGTTCGTTTTCCTTGAAATACATCTTGCTTTTGTTTATTAGAGTTGTTAAATTTCATACAACAACACAAATTATGCTCGAGTTGTTTGGCATTGTTAGGTGACTGCCAACTGATTATATTTGCTAATTTGATTAGGAGATTCAAATAGCAATTTGTCAAATTAGTGTTAGGTAAATAGCATTAATTTAAAATTATCACGTTGTATTTTTTTTTAATCACATGGTCTCAAAAGGCTGATTTTGTTTTAGCTTTTTAAGAGTTAACATGTTAAGTCCAAAGATAATGAAATAAAATTTTTACCAAACAAGTTAATTGACGAATTTAACTGATCAATCATTTAAATAAGGTTTGGTATGCTAATTTAGCACTAATCCGCTGACAAACAAACTAGTCCATTATCCATGTTTCCTATGACGAGAAGCCATCTGATCAGGTATTGCCACAACTTAACCAAATAATATCCTTTAAAAAAAATAAATAAAAATTTAATCATGTGTTACATATGTTTGATAATTGGATGTCTAGGTAATTCCATAAGTGTTAAGACATGTTAAGAGAAATGATGGATGAATCATATTGTGCACCGAGGTGTATCTTACAATTAAGTTAAATGTTGTATTTTGATTCCATATTAATATACTTTTAGATGTCTTGTAATGTATCTGAATTTTCATGTGCATATAACGTGTTTTGAAGTTTGAAGTTAATGTACTTTGTAGTTGTCATACACTATAGCTCAATATTAATGTGTGTGTCACATGTTTTCAACATATTTATTCGTTCAGTTAATACGTAAATTATGTAAATATTAATTTTATATTTCTCTTATCACGTGATGTATACATACTTTGTACTGATATTTTATCATGTATACAAGGAGCATAATGATAGTGTTAATTGATGTGGATGAACATTTGTGTACCTTAAATGGGGCTCTAAAAGAGCAACTTTAATAGAGATTTTATAAAATTTCTATATATGTAGTACCTAATCGATTTGGTCATTCTACTGGGTTTACCTTATTCCCGTTAGAAAATAAAATTTCATTTGAACTCGGGAATTTGAAGATTTAAAAAATAAGTTTTTCCAACGTTTTATTATCGTTAGAATTTTTGTTGGAATTGTTTTTTTCCACCGGTAATTTCAAATTTCCAACCACTACTATAATCATTAAAATCAAACAAAAACTCCCAGTGAGAACCAGATTTCATATGAATATTTAGTTGGAGTTCATTAATTAGAAAATTTGAACGAAAGTTATAGTATTGAAATATTTATTGAAATTACTATTGTAATCATGTTGAGATATATTTCCGGTCGAATTTTATTGCAGTGCATGAGATATTAATATATCATTTTTATACATTTTTAATATTAAGAAAATACATTATGTCCCCATGTTAAAATACTTTTTCTTATTATTAATTACTACTAGTTATCATTAATCACATACCTTAACTAGCGCCTAGCTAAAAATAAATCCAGTAAATTGAAATGCCCTAAATAATCCATACATAACATAAGAGGATAAGAACATGACCACATAAACAATTCACATAAAATAAAAGCTTATATATGATTAGATTATTATCCTGAACGAATAATAAACACAATCACTCGAAACTTGGAAGCGCATCGCATGCAATTGATCTCCAGAACATGTGAATGTTAAAAGGATCTCAAATTAATATATCAAGTCCAGCCATGTGAATGTTAGGTCATAACAAGCAAAAGCTTGTACCGCTTAAAACTCTATATCTTATAATCATAATGTACAATACAAAAGACGTAATGTCTGAAAGAACTCATAACAATGTTCTTCGTTGTCATAAAAACAGATCTCAAGAACACAGACACGCGCGCATTAAGAGGAAAATTAATAAACACAATGCACCCATTAGACAAATGTACCGTCTCACGAGTGAAGGAATAGTCGTCGAGTTGGTTTTTTTTGTGCTTATTTAAATAATTAATTAATTAAGCACAAGTCGGGGGAATCTTTGATATCCCTTGACGTTGAAGCTCCACCACCACGCTGTCGACGGATGGCGGCTTCAGCCCTAGCGGCAGCGGCAGCCATGGCTTCGTCAGGACATCTCCGATTGCTGCATCCACACTCTCCTTTGACTGTTGTAACATTCATTGCAGGACGATTATATATATATGTGCCCATCATTCAATCGGGTAATTTTTAAGAATGTAATTAAAAAAAAAAAATAGGGTTCAATGCCTATGTTCATGATTTAATAATAATAATAAGTATTGAATTTTTATTTACTGTTGCAAGCTAGCTAGGTGAACAAGAATAATACAACTATACAAGACTTTCCATCTATGTGGTCCTCACACAGTAAAGTTTCCTCACAAGTGGTTAAATGTTTCACCCAAGTATATAGATTCCAATCTCCACATTGTATGGTAAAATAGATAGTGAATATATATACAGTAACATTTATAACAATCTTTTAAGGCTAATAGTAAAACTTAATTAGGGTTTATACATCACATTTGTTGATGTTGTTTTCAAACCTGAGATATTTATACAACTGGATCTGGTAGGATAGATTTGAAATTCCTAGCTCAATATTTCATCACCTAGAATAGGAATCTAGACTAGCTAGTGCATTTCTTGGGGGCAGTTTATATATTTAAAAATAAAAAAATAATAAGTGGACAAAAAACAAAAAAAAAAGGGGGGAGTGGACCAACATAGAAAGCACGTATTTTGTAAATACGTTTTCTGTGTAATTTAATTAAAAAACGTATTCCTTAAATACGTTTTTTACATTTTTTTTACAAAGGAAAACGTATTCACGGAATACGTTTTACAAATAAAAAAATCAAAAGCCGTATTCAGCAAATACGGGCTTTTGATTCTTGTCCACCCCCTTTTTTCTTTTTCTTTTTTTGTCCACCACTTGTCTTCTTTTTTTTTTCCCGTAAAAGAATCCATTTCTTGGTCTCCTATTTATCAAAATATAAATAAGTATGTGGACAAAGGGAGTAGTAAAAAGTAAAAACATGCAAGAATTAATTAATTACATTAATTATACATACCGGATGAACGTCCGAAGGGGGTTGTGCCGGTTTTTGTCCCGGAGCTGCTGCCGGGATGCCTTGGACTGGTGGAGTTGGAAATCTCTGCATTATTATTATTATTATTATTATTATTATTATTTAGTTGGAAATCTATTTACGTTCCTACGTCGGTGAAAATTGGTGAAAATGTGCACAATTGGTGAAAATTATGAGACGAACGAAATAATATATATAGTATTAAGGGTTCGTTATTACCGTAGGCCGTAGATGGGGCGGAGGAAAGCAAGGAGCTACGGTGGACGTAGGAACCTAAATAGAAGAGGAAATGTATAAGGGAAAAGCAAACTTATTTACTTTCATTATATTTATATATACACATGTGCATGGGAATACAATAGACTTACATGGTGGTGATGGGGAATCCAATAAGAAGGATCGGCGGCCGGTGGCGGAGGATGAGCTGGCGGCCACACATGTGGCGGTGTTAGATGTTTAGGCCACATGGGCATCAACGATTGGTCGACAGATGGGTGACCCCACACGTGTAAGGGTCGAAAATGAGGCATAGGAGTCACCGGAGGGAAGCCTAAGGTGGGTGCGATCCACGGGTTCACGTGCTCTCTCTTTCCGGCGGCCGCCCCACCACCACCGCCACCGTACATCTGCCGCCGGTGGCTCCAGCTAGCCGCCTCGGCTTCCCGGGCCAGCAAGTGTTTCCGGTGAGATCTATATTTCTGAAATACAATCGAAAAAAAAAAAGAAGGAAATTATAAAAACAATGAATAATCATGTTTATGTTAGTATTAGTCAATATTTAATTATGATGATCATACTATTTTTATTATGTTATGATTAGGGAACCAATTATTACTACCACGTGAGGGTTTTTTCTTTTTCTTTTTTAAAAAGGTATGAATAAAAAGCGAGCAACTTTTTTAGTGTCTGGTTTGATTGAAGAAATTGTAGTGGGATTTATTTATGACAAATGATGGAGTAATTTTTGGCAAAAAAAGTTGGTCCACCAAACTTTTTACCATTATAAGAAAAGGTGAAAAAAGAAAGACCTCTAGAAAAGAAAGTGGTTTTCTGCTCAACTAATTTTCCAGTGTGCTGAAACTGGAGCCNCCTTCAAATGAAGTACAGTACTATACTATAGTGAAGAGAGAACAGCAAACGTTAGGAAAACAAGCCAAAAGCTCTGCAAAAAATCATGCAGACAGTTTTATGGGGAATTAAACATTTTCACTCACATAAAGTGTGCAGGATTACAATAACAGAATTAATTTACTTTAATTTATTTTTAATTCCACATAAATGTTTTTGAGATGCACAAAGAATAAATCTGAAAATCAAATACTATACTTGAAGATGGCTAGCAATATTATGGCGCGTGAGACAATCAATCCCCATGAGCTCAAGAATTCTGGAAGGGACAGCTTTATCCACGCCAAGTTGCTCCACCGCTTGCACAAAACGCCGGTGAAGTTCTGGGGTCCAATCCACCTTACATACACACATTTCAAAAAATCATTTTTAACTTATGTAATTTCTTCAAAATAAAATATATAAATGAAAATTAAAAATTTCACTTAATTTAATTAAACTTGAATTTCTGGGTCTCGTGAACCGCACTTTTTTCCATGAAATATGCGTGAGAAATTCATAAATACTAAAGAGAAGTATGGTATAAGGAAAAATAAATGTTTTCCTTATGGATAACGAAGGCGGCCTCTTCAATAAATGAACCCACCCGTCAGAATATCAATCTTCCCTATAAATCGGGTTATATATAATTCTATATAAGGAAAACAAAAATAATCAAACAAATTATTGGCTTATTGTTAATCCAAATTAACGTTAATATTAATAATAATGATAATTAGATGGTAAAATTAATTTCGAAATTCTAAAATCTTGTTACACTCACCTTCACTTTCCTCTTCCCATTAGGGTTTCTCCCGTTGCTCGCCATCGATTTCCTCCCCTTTTCGCCTGAGAACTCCTTCGCCGCCGCCGGCTTGGCGCTAGCCACGTCTCCGAACGGACTCGTCGAGCCCGGCCCGAGGCCCGAAGCCGGACACGGTGGCGGCTTCTCCTCCCTCGCGGCCGAGCTGTTGCTCTCCTCGTCGGCGGAGGACGGCGGCGCGTAGGTCTCCGACGTGGACTCCTCGCCGGCGCTGGCGGAGAACTCGGCGAGGATATCGCGCGGGTCCATCTCGAGATCCGGAAGGTCGCTCATCCCAACGAAGAGGTCGTCGAAGTCGATGCTGTCGAGCAGGCTCCCGCCGGCGAAGTCGGGAAACTCGATTGGGTCCTCCATCGACGGCGGCGGCGGCAGGTGAAGGACCTGGTCCATCTCGATTTCGCTTTCATTTTTGGAGTTCCTCAGCGGCGACACGGCGAGCATTAATGATACAGGAAGAGCTTAATCAAGCTTTCTCTCTCTACCTCTCTAGCTCCCCTTTCTCTCTCTTCCTGTATGTATGTATATATATGTATAGGTAGTTGGAGTAATTTGGTGTAGATTTGGAAGGTGTTTTATTTTCAATTTGCTATATGGATTTATATGTTGTGTTCTTTGAGTATAGTGGGAAGCTCTGAAATAATCCATGGGTGGGGACATACAATTATATAAACACAAATTTTTGTTCCGTGTAATAGTCGGGTTAACCCATTAAATTTTTTAAATAAAAATATATATTTGTGTTATAAAATTTATAAATAAAAACACATAATTTTAATTATAAAATGTTAAATATTTGTTTATGTTGTTTTTTGAACTATGATATTTTAAAAAAGACCTACCTAATAATAGCTTATTATTATAGAAATGGAAAATTCAGATTTATTTGTTTAATTTTAATATTATATTTTTATTTTAACAAAAATGTATAGTTATACTTTAAAATATCATATTATTATTCATATTATTTTTTAAAGTATGATATTTTAGTTTAAAAAAGTATGATACTTCAAAATATGACTACTTAATCGTTAGATTTACTATTTTTTTTTAACAAAATACATAGTTATATTACGAAATATTATATATTTATTTCTATTGTCTTCTATAGTATGACATTTCAGTACAACAGTATGTATATATGTTGAAAAATAAATCATAGACAGCCGAGCAGACTTTATTTTAGAAATGGAAAATTCAAAATCTATTTAAAAATCCATTTATTTTTGTTTAATATTAGGATTTTTTTAATAATGAAATTGGTTGAATTGGGAGTGTGTGGAGAGCGAGTGGAGGGATTGGATGTCGTCCACAATTTGACTGTGGGAGGGCTCACAGCAGATTTTGTCTCTATGCCTTTGTTTTTGGTTTTATTCATGCTTGCGACTTGCAGAGTACGTATAAAATGTATATATTATATGGGAGCCTTGTGGCTGTGGACGCCCNTAAAAAAGAAAAATAAAAAATCTGTAAAGTGTTTGCTCGTGAGTTGTTATCACTTTTCCATTAATTGAGAGAGGCAACATGACAATGTCAGACAGTGGGCTAAGAATTGGATTGATATGTAATGCACTAGCTTATGTATATCTGTTGTACAGTAAAATCTATATCTATATCTATATCTATATATATATAAAGAGGTTGTTGGAAAAATATATTAATAGAAAGTTTGACCTAATAAATAAAACAATTGACTTACTATAAATGGAAAGTTCGAAAAAATACATGTGAATCTTTAGTAACAAAATCTGAATCCTATTTTTTTGGTAACTAATTTGGAGATTCTTATGGCAAAATTTGAATCCCATTTTTTTCGCATCATATTTTATTTTTTTTACCAAAATTTAAATCATATATTTTGGTAACAAATTTGGAGATTCTTATGCAAAAAATGTGTTAATTATTTATGAAAACAATTCTAAATACAAATTAACTTAAAAACCTTACAAATTGGATACGAATTTAGGAAACAAATAGTTGTATAATTCTTAACCAATTCTTCCAATCTTATTGAATAATTTTTTCTTTCAAAAAAAAAGTGTGTAAATTGGATAAAGCCACGTGCAATTTTTATTTTAGAATAAAATTGATATTTGGACGGGATGTACATTCAAAATTGTGTCCACATTTTTGGTAACAAAAGTGGTTCATCTTTGATATTTAAAGCCACCTTATCCAATTATTTAGGAAAAATTGTGTGCAACTTTTCAAAATTTAAATGCATCGATTTTTTTTTAATTCTTATGTTTTTTCTTAACCATGTTTTACCAAGATTTTGGTAAGTTCATATCATTTTTTTTTTGGTTAAGTTCATATCATTTTCTTTAGGAAAGAGACAGTTGCATAAACATTAACAAATTGTTTCAATTTTTTATTAAAATTATTTTCAATTCAATGTTTGGTAAAAAAATGGGTGTAGTGTTAGGAAAATTCGGTTGCATTTTTAGGAAAAATTGATGATTTTTTATTTGGTTTACAAAAATATTCGGATCAATTTGTTTGATAAAAAATCGGTTTATTGGTAGGAAAATCGGCTTCATTTTCAGGAGTAAATAATGATTCTATAAAGGTTGTTGGAAAAATACTTAAATAGAATGTTTGACTTATTAATTAATTTGTTTGACTTACTAATTTAGGAAAATTTGTTAAAAAGCACGTGCAATTTGAGTAAAACAATGAGATTTTAAAAACAATATTCAAATCAATTTCTTAACAAAAAAACTCGGAAGGATGATGTTGAATTGTGGATGAGGATAATGTCAATTGATTCTTTCCGAATTGAAAGGTCACATGTGAAATATATATACCAAGGATATCTAATTTATTGGTTACTTAGGGAGCATGATTGTAGGAGATCAAAATATATCAATGTAAATGTAATATCAAACCATATAAAACAAGTTTCGTTATAAGTAATTTAAACATTCTTGGTAAGTTTTAAATTATTATATATAACAAATCCTGTTTTTTTTTTATATATTAATAGATACTACCTCCTTTTTTTTTAAATGTCATTTTGACTTTATTTACAATTAATCAAATAAATGACGTTTTGGATCTTTTGTACATATTTTTTCATTATTACCCCCATCTAGCTAATAAATACACTACATGTTTTCATATTCATTCTTCATCTTTTCTCAAAACATCCGTATCTATCCTCATTAATGAGGGTTATTATTGACAAAAAAATTCTTAATTACTGTGCAATTTTTCAAAACGATAGTTATTAAAAAAAGGAGGGAATACTATATATGTACTTATTAATCTATATTTATATCTATCTATATCTATATCTATATCTATATCTATATCTATATTGAAAGAGGTTGACTAAAAAATCATTTATAGAAACGTGATAAAAAATTTGAGTCAAAACCTTTGACTTAGTTCTTTTGGAAATTCAATCTACTACTATAAAATAACAATAGGGATTTACTTTAAGTTGAAAAAAAGTTTTCGTCTAAAATTTTAGATTTTACTACAATTGATAACTTTTTTTAAATTCTTTGAAAAATTGGGAGTTGATTTGTAATTTGAATTTTAGCGCCAACGTTAAATGTGGGCCATGTGGCCGAGTCTATCAATGAGTACATGACATCATTGAATTTGTTGGGTTGTCGTATGTACTTGAGCTCTGACAGTACATGCAAATCGGATTCTAATAATGACTTTTTGTCTGATCTCCATACGCCTGAGTTTTTTAATAGTATCAAGTGTTCCGGAATACCGAACCATGAGTTGTATTTGAAAATAGGAACTTCAGTCATGTTGTTGCGGAACATGGATCATTCTATGAGTTTGTGTAATGAGACACGATTGGTTGTGACAAAGCTATTCACTCATGTTCTTGAGTGTAAGATACTCACAGAAGATCATGCTGGTGATAAGATGTTGATTCCAAGAATGGCCATAATACCTTCTGATGTTAGAATTCCTTTCAAGTTCCAGCAGCGGCAGTTTCCCATTATGGTTTCTTGCGCCATGACTATGAACAAGAGCCAGGGACATTCCTTATCTCATATTTGCTTATTTCTTAAGAAACCAGTGTTCAGTCATGGCCAGTTATATGTTGTTGTCTCACATGTCACTAACCGAAAATGTTTGAAAATCTTAATTTGTGGCGAAGATGACATGCCAAAGAATCAAACCAATAATGTTGTATATAAGGAAGTGTTCAATAATATATGATCTTTTCAGTTTAATTATATGTTTATATGTCTATTCTTATGATCATGATCAATGCATTATTACACAATTTATCTACAAAAGTGCCTTCTAAAAAGCGTAAAGATAATAATTTCCCCGTGCATCGCACGGGTGATTACTAGTATGGAGAAGATCGTATCATGCACTTGGGCTTGCAAGTTGGAAACCACGCTTTCCATTGGTCATTAATAAAAAGTCGCGTTTTCTTACTACTAACTACATGACAAATTAGAATTTTGTTTGTTTGAATTTGAATACTTTTCTTAACATAATTTTTTTTTTCTTTTTTTTTTATTAACATAATAGTTTTTATGCAATGATTGACATAAATGATATGCGAGTATCGGAGTTTTTATTTTTAAATTGATGTGATATATAAAATTATAAAATAATGTCATGTGTTTATTTTGTCAAAGTTTATATCATTCATCATATTATTGTAGCTGATCTTAATTAAAGTACATTCATATTGTTTTATCCAATTAATTGGACATAATCATCCAAAATTGCATCATTAATTATAAAGATTCATATGCAAGTTAAATAGTTTATATTTAAATCGTAATTTTTTTCTAATGATAAATTTATAAAATGTGATATGTTCATTATCTCACTTATGATTATAAATATTGCATAAACTCACATATATATTAAAATTTTATTTGCATTTGTGCATGTACACATGATCGAATATTAGGTGTTATGATTATTGGCCTTCGTCATGATTGCTAGGCTGCTAGCCTTAAATTGAAAAAAGAAAAAGGAAAATTAGGTTTAATATAGATTTGAAAACTTAAATTTAATACACTTGCAATTGACAACGTGGTAGAATTGTAGAGTAAGGGTAGTCCATTTTGAGCGGATTTATTTGTATTCAATCACACTCTTATCACACAAGCAACGTAGTAATTGTATGAATAAATAGGACATATCCCTTAGTTAATGATATAATAAATAAATAAATAAATAAGAGAAATCTATTTTCGTTTGGGTATTTCAGTGTAACATTTCTTTATTTATATAAGATAAAAGAGTTTGTGAATTCACCATTTTAGAGAAAAGTAAAGAAAAAGAAAAGGAAAGGAAACATGACTAGAAATTCAATTATGTCATGTTCTTTACTTTGGGGTGATTTAATGCTGTGGACGCTCCACATAGATTTAACTGCACCGAGCGAGAGTCGTCAGTGTCAAGTAGGTCTGTTTTCCTTGTCTTCCTCCTATGATGCTTATTACATCACTTTCCTTTTCCTCATCACCATTATTGCCCTACCAAATTCACATACTTATAATTTATTTACCATCACAACTAGCTAATTGCAACTTCAAAGTTCAAATACTACTACACATGGGGGGATTTTCGATAGTCAGCTGGCTAAATTATCAATGAGTACATAATTAATTGATTGGCCAACTCGAATACAATTTCCTGCACTTATATTTTTCATTTTAGAATA